CCCCAGGAACTGGAATTAGAGATGGTTGTTAGCTGCCATATGGGTGCTGGGAACCAAACCCATGTCCTCTAGAAGAGCAGTCAGTCCTCTAGAAGAGCAGTCAGTGCTCCTAACCTCTGCGCTATCTCTCCAGCCCAACTTTACACTTCTTTTGAGACAAGGTCTTTTGGTTGGTTGTCACTGTATGGCAGGTTAACTGGCTTTAGAACTTCCTCAGATTGTCCTGTCTCAACCTCCCTCCTCCCACTGGAATTTCAGACCCACATGGTCTGGCTTTAGGTGGGTTCTGGGGATTCAGACTCAGGTCCTCATGCTTGTGTGGCAAGTGATTTTACCCATTAAGCTATTTCTCCAGCCTGAGATTCTTAATAATTCTAAATTTAATAGGATTGTTTGGTCACCAACTCTTGGTAATTGTGATGCAATTTAAATAACTTTTTAACTCTCTTCATTTCAGTCATCCTTCATTTAAAATAAACATTTAGAGGAGCTGGAGAGGATGGCTCAGCAAAAAGTATTTAACTGCTCTTGGAGAGGACTTGGGTTCAGTTCCCAAAACCCACATAGTGGCTCACAGTTCCAGGGGATCCAACACCTCTTCTGGCCCTTGTGGTCACTGCATGTTCATACATATACATACACATACATACATGAAGGCAAAACATTCACATATATGAAATAATTTTTTTTTTTTTTTAAAGAAGAAACAGCCAGGCATGTTGGTACATGCCTTTAATCTCAAAATTTGGGATGCTCCCTGGAGTCAGCTCTCTGTGAGATCAAAACCAATCTGGTCTGTATAGCAAGTTCCAGGCCTAGAGGGAACTATTTAATGCCTTAGGAGAAGAGAGACAAGCATAGAAATTAAAGTTTAAGTGTGATATCCTCATTTCCTGTCATGTGGTTTCAGAATATTTGAAACTGGAGTGTGGTCAAAAGACTAGTTCTTTTCTCAGTAAAGAAAATGTGGTTCCTTGCTGGGCGTGGTGGCGCACTCCTTTATTCCCAGTTAGGGAGGCAGAGGCAGGTGGATCTCTGAGTTCAAGGCCAGCCTGTTCTACATAGTGAGTTCCAGGACAGCTGGGACTACAAGGAGACCCTGTCTCAAAAAGACAAAAAAAACCCACAAGATTTGGGAAGACCTATATACATTGCTACTTAGGACTTTAATATTAGACCTGGGAACTAATAAGGAAAAGGCATTTTGAATTGAATATATAAATTCGCTAAGGAACTCTGTAGAACTTTATATTTAGCTTGAGCTGGCCTTGAACTTTCTCTGCATTTGCCTCTGCCTCCTATGTACTAGGATTAAAAGTATATGCCACCTTGCCAGGTATCGTGTATTCTGAATGTGGCCCTTAGTTAACAGGTTTCTGGGATATAGCTGTGCTTTAGGGCATAAAGTAAGGCATGTGGTCACCTTGAACACAATGACTCAAATTCCTCATATTCTATCCATTTTCTTTTTTTTCATCATAGCTTATAATACTAAAATTTTTCTTTGCTATTTAGAAAAATCCACATAAATATGCACAAGTATATTCATTGTTTGTCCAAGTCATCATTATCATATTTTCAAACTCAGACACAATTTCATTAGACATACCTAGCATCATGTCAGCATTCAAATTCAACTGTACTGTGAAAATAGTAACCAAAGGAGATTTATGATTAGCCTGGCATTGAGTGGGCAGGAACTTGAAAACGTAGGATTTTGTTCCCCAGAATTTGTTTCATCTGCCGAATACTGAACAGGACCACTTTTTAGCCTTAGGCCTGCCTTTCTGTAGAATTTGATAGTATTTGTTATCTTTTCTTTCCTTTCTGGGTTTTCAAAATTCCCATCACAGGTTTCTACCTCTGTTTGCACATGCTAGGTACCACCCCTTGAACTTTGGTATGTTTTCTCATGATTTGCTATTTTTAATTTCTGTGATCATCAATAGATTGATGGGTCAAATCTCTAGCTCCAGGCTCTTGGGGATTCTGACTTCCTGCTTCTAGTGCTCTGATTGCATCTCTATTTCATTTAGCAGCTGGTAGGGATTTGGTTGTGGTGGCTTTCTTTTCTTTTTTTTTTTTTTTTTTTTAGACAAAGGCTCCCTGTAGCCCCAGCTGGCCTGGGAACCCCTATGTAGACCAAGCTGGCCTTGAACTTGAACTCACAGAGATCCACCTGCCTCTGTGTCACACCCAGCTTTGGTGGCTTTCTTAGCTGAAGCAAAAGAAGCCCTTGAAAGTCAGGAAGGCCCTTGGCATTGTTTTCAGTTTTAAATTACACTTATTTATTTAGCATGCATGTGTATATGTGTATACCTGTGTCACAGTGTATCCATGGAGGTCAGAAGTCATTTCTCTCCTTCCATCTTGTGAGACCTGGGAACTGGGAACTGAACTTGGATCATCAGGCTTAGCAGTAAGTGCCTGTATCCACTGAGCATTTCACTGGCCTGTGCTCTCAACATTGTTACCTATGTGTATGTATGGGTACCTATAGGTATGTGTGGGTACACACGTGTGTGCACGCACATACACACACATGCATTTTTTTTGCAGATGCTTTAACATGGAGTTAAGCAGAGAAAAATGTCAAGACTTCAAAAATGTTTTTTTAAGTTCTTCCTGTACTTGTGCATGCGGTGAACAGACTGTGAGAAGTAGCTTGCATTGTGGCAGTCTCTTCTTGGCGTCTCATTCCATTTCTGTCCTCTTTCCCTTCTCCATTCTCTTGTAAGAGAAAATAGCTCAGGAAACTTGTTAATAATCAGCAATCTGGGAACTTCCAGGATTCCTTGCCAGAATCCTCCTGGATACTACAGATCCTGACATAAGCAGCATTGTTTCGGGTAGGAGTTTTTATAATACTCTGAAGCAGTGACTGTCCTTGATAACACAGGTGTTACCCTTAGCAAGAACTGCCTGGGACTCCTCTGCCGATTTAAATTCATGTGTAAATTAAAGAAAAACCTCTACCTAGTCCCTCCTCCTCCTACTTAAAAAAGGATTATTAAATTGCTTAGGAACATCTATTCCTGAAGAGTGAGTTGTCTTTGGTAATGAAGTATTTTCTAGAACAATGGTCCTCTTGTCCCACAACCCCCTTTCCATGTTACCATTAGCTGTCTTTTGTGTTAACAAATCATCTATTAACATGGAGGTTTGTAGATTCTTTGTCTTTTTCTGAGAATCAGTTTGATTTAAAAAGCAGTCAAAGTGAAGTTGTAATTAACCTTGTCTATTAGGAGTTTACTTGAAACTTCCTTACATCAAATGAATTGTAGTTGTTCAAATACCATGGTTCTAATGCTTATTTTTTTGCTATCTTTACTAATAGCCTCAAAAAATTAACAACAAAAAAAACATGAAACCACTGTGATCTTTGAAAAACACTTAAAAAATTTTAAGTTTACAAAAAAAGTATTATTTCCCCTGATGTTCTTAGTAAAGCATTGGGTTTTTTGTTTGTTTTTTTGTTTTTTTTAATTAGGATGTGCATGAGTGCTGGGCGTCGTGGCAGGGGGATTTCTGTGAGTTCAAGCCAGCCTGGTCTACATAGTGAATAGCTGGGGCTATAGGGAGACCCTGTCTCAAAAAGACCCCCCCCCAAAAAAATGTGTATGAGTGTATTGCCTGCATGTAGGTAGGTGCATCCACATCATGCAGTGCCCAAGGAGGTCAGAAGAGGGCGTTGGATCCCTTGGAACTAAAGTTATAGACTGTTGTTAGCTGCCATGTAGGTGCTGGGAATAGAACCTGGGTCCTCTACAAGAGCAGCCAGTGCTCTTAACTGCTGAATTTAACTCTAGCCCCAGCATTGTTCTTATTACCTAGATTAAATAGTCCTTAAAAAAATATTGTATCTTAAAATAATCTAACCAGGCAAGGTGGTGCGTGCCTTTAATCCCCCCACTAGGGAGGCCGAAGCAAGTGGGTTGCTGTGAGTTTGAGGTTATCCTGGGCTACATAGTGAAACAGCCTAAAATAAATGTGAAAAAGACATAATCAAAAGAAAAATGGGAGGAAATAAACCTTATCTTTTAAATTGTTATTTATTTTATGTGCATGAATGTATTTCTTGCATGTTTGTAAGTACACCCCTGTCATACAGTTCCTGAGGAGGCCAGAAGAGGACATCAGATCCCCTGAAATGAGTTACAGATGCTTGTGAGCTGCTGTGTGGGTGCTGGGACCCAAACCCAGAGACCACCTGTTAGATCTAATATTTGTGTGTAGCATCCAACTCTTTGCAGGAAACCTCTCTGACTCAGTGTGGTAGCACAGGTCTCTTGTCCCAGGATGCTGGAGGCTAAAACACAAATATCAGGAGTTTGTGAGGGCAGCCTGGGCTATGTAAGGAGACGAGTTTCTACTTCCCTAAATAAAACAAACAAACCAACCCCAATTACTTTACAATTTCATAGCCTGCCCACCTTCCTTTCTTTCTTCCTGCTTTTTCTTTCCTTTTCCTTTCCTTTTTCTTCTTCTTTCTTTGTATTGTTTTCAAGTCAGGCTCTTACTGTGTAGCCCAGTCTAGCCTGGAACTTGTTATGTAGTCCAGGTTGTCTTTGACCTTGGAATCTTCCAGACTTTACCTCCCAAGCCAAAGGCTTGTGCCACCATGCCCAGCTATAATATTTCTTAAAGACAACCAGGAGGAAATGCTTTGGTTCTTTCAGCTCATAGAACCCCAGAAGAACAAAACAAATGTCAGTTTTCTACTCTGGAAACATATTTTTAGTTGCTGATATTATTCCAAAGGTAATTTTTTCAAGGTTTCTATTTATTAAAGCTAAAAATAAATAACTGAAAATGAGATTCAGTGATGTGAAAGATTAAAAAATGGAGTTCAACAGCTGCCCTACCAGTTGAATCTTGCTTTAGGAAAGTTAGCATGGGATTTTAATGCCCTTCTGGTTTAGTATAATTTAATAGATAATAACAGAATCTGTATAAGTGAAGTAATGACAAATATCTGTTTTTGTTTTCCTTTGTTTCAGGTTTCCCCTCAAAAAACCTATAAGGTAAGTTGTTCAGTGCTCTTCATACTAAAGTGTAGGTTAAGTTTTAATTAGAAGCATTCCTTTGAAATTATAGAGATTTTTGTGGTTTTTGAGAATGTGAATTTTAGTACAAAATTTCATAGTGCTTCACAGATTTCAAATAGAACAGGTGTTGCATATTTTTTCTGGAACCTAGCCTTGTTTTGATAATATTTTCAGTGTTTTTAGTATAAGCATTTAAACAGTTTATTCAAATTGACACTTTAAGGTCACTCCCCATGAAGAAATTTAATTTTAAAATCTGTGACTGTTTTGAATTGTAAGTTGCTTAGGGAGGTGAAAATGGACTGCTAGCATGTTTTATCACTTGAGTGACTATCAGTGCCTTTAATGAACCCATCTAGCCTTAATTATTTTAAGATAATTAAGGGAAAAAAAAGTTGAAAATGTTCAGATTTGTCCGTATGTATGCACATACTCATTTCCTGGGGAAAAGGAATCTGAGACGCTAACCCAGCACTGTGTTTTAACCAAAACATCATCTTTCTCTCTCATTGTAATTGCCATGCATGTTATTTAAAATATTGCTAGGATGCCATTCCTAGTAATTATAATACCTTTTATCACTTTTAGTGACAGCACTGTTCAGGATACTGGTGTTAGCCTTTCAGTTAACTGGAAGTGTATGCATCATAGGCCCTTTTCCTATTGCCCAGCCATCATTTGATCCTTGCTAAGCCTTAGAAAAAAATAATAAGCTGGGCATGGTGGTGCATGCTTTTAATCCCAGCACTTGGGAGGCAGAGGCAAAGGCAGGCCTGTCTCTGTGTGTTCACAGACAGCCTGGTCTACATAGCAAGTTTCAGGCTTGCTAACTCCCTAGCTGGAGCTACAAGGAGATCCCATCTCAACCACTATCCACCCTCTCCTTGCCAAAAAAACCTCCAATAATGCTGGTGTCATCTTGGGGCAAAGGTGTTTGGCTAAGACTTCTGTGGCTAATCCCTAACCCTACACAGGTTAAAGGGAGGCTTGCCTAAGGTAGGCCTGTGCGGTTTTTTTTTTTGGTTTTTTTTGTGTTTTTTTTTTTTTTTTTTAAATCAACTGTTGTTATGCATGTTATAGTTACATAGTGATTTTGAGCTCGTGCATAGTATATATAAGGTCAGGGGATGTGTTGTATTCATTTGGGGCATTGTTTTCATATTATTAAATGAAAATGATAGTGATTAACCCATGAAAATACTAAAAATGGTGCATATTTATCTCTGAGAATAAAATAGACTTCAATAATGGATACTATTTTATTAATTGAGGACCTTATATAACAAACACATAGCCCGAGTTGAATTTTTAAAAGTTTTTGAAAAATACAGCAGCCTAGGTCTCTCCTAGGTTTTATTTTGTTTTTTCCTCTTGAGACAGGGTCTCCCTGTAGCCCCAGGTAGCCTGGAACTATGTAGACATGCCTGGCTTCCATATCACAGAGATCCACCTGCCTCTGCCTCCTGAGTGCTGAGATTAAAGGCATGTGCCACTGTGGCTGGCTGTTTTGTTTTTTTGTTTTTGACAGGGTCTCCCTAGTCCCAGCCTGCCTGGAAGTCACTGTGTGCACCAGGCTGCCCTCAGTCTCCCAGCGATCCACTTTCCTCTGCCTCTTGAGGACTAAGATTAAAGCCGTGTGTCATTTTGTTTATGTTTTTTTTCAAGACATGTTTTGGAGCTGGAATGATTGATTGCCTTGTGGTTAAGAATGCTTGCTCTTCCAGAGTACCAGAGTCAGTTCCCAGAACCCACTTTGGGCAGTTCACATTTTCACCTGTAATTTCAGCTCCAGGGGATCTCACACCCTTTTCTGGCCTCTGTGGGCGCCTGCATCCACATGTACATACATATGTCACACACATACACACGAAAAAGACACATTTGTGGAATTTTTATATCAAGATTTTACTGTGATTATTTTCTTACAGTAATATTTGATTGTTCTGATTTAACTTAGGCATGGAAGTATTTTGAACCGAGAGTCACCAACAGATAAGAAGCAGAGAGTCGAACGCAGCACATCACATGATTTTGACCCAACAGGTAAAATACTCTTGTTCTTCCAAAGAATATTTTCAGAGAGGTGAGGTTCAGAACCATAGAGCTATGACTCAACATGCTCAGTGTGGTTGCTTTGTACCCATTCACACCTCCCAGTTGTGTAGCATCACCTTTGCAGTCAGCATGAATGAATGCACTCTTAATTCTCAACACCATGGACTCCACAGTGGAGGCATCATTATAAAGATAATGATGGCTGTAGAAATAGCTGTCCTAGTATAGGATGAATTAAAGTATAAGTACTAGTGTGTCATGAAACCAAGGGTATAACAACTGCAAACTTCTGTATTCCCTAAAAACTCAGTTGTGAGTGTTGTGAATCGATGGATTAGCTACAATGCAATTTCAAAAACTAATGATTATCTTATTTTGAATAAGGAAATGAATAGAAACCCCCTTTTCTTATTTTTTTCCCTCCCTCTTTTGTTTTTGAGACAGAATCTGACTTTATAACTCAGTCTGGCCTTAACTTTGTGATCCTCCTGCCTCAGCCTCTCCCTGAGATTACAGGCATATGCCATAGTGCCCAGCAGAAACCCTTCCCTTTCTTCAGTCAAAAAGTACTGTGAACTCAGCTATCTTGCAATCTCCACGTGTTGATTTTTCCTAGATTTTCCTCCGCCGCCTTCTTTCTCCCTGTAATTTCAGTACTTGGTTTGTAAAAATTGCTTAATAATAATTTTGTTGTTTTCATTTAAAATTTGTAATATGTTCTTTTTTGTAAAATTTATTTGATTTATTTATTTTTATTTTATGTGTATAAGTATTTTGCCTGCATGTTATGTGAGTACACCATATGCATGCAGTGCCCATGGAGGCCAGAAGAGGGCATTGGGTCCCCTGGAACGAGACACTTGTTAGCCACCATGTGGGTGCTGGGAACTAAACCCTGGTCCTCTGCAAGAGCAGCCAGTACTCTTAACTGCTGAGCCATCTCTCTAGCCCAGATATACTTTCTTTGAGCATGTATTATTTAGTTGTATGTCCCTGTGACAAAAGATAAATGTTTTAATACCAAATACACAAATATATGTCCTATCAAGACATTTTTACTTAGAAACAATTTTAAATATTTAATAGAGAATAATGTTTTATGTGAATATTTGACATTTCATACTTTTAGGATAATCTCCTTTTTGAAAAAAAATTTAAGTATTATCTAAGAAGGGAAAACTAGGAAGTAAGTAATGAAAAATTTACTTTGCATCTTGGGTAGTAAATAAAAGAAACCAACCATTGGTTTAGGATACTTTGGTGGAAGGTGTAGCAATATGTCACTTAACAAATCTCCATTCAGAGGATTCTCTATTTTTGATGCCTAAGTTTGAAATTACAGGCTTGGAGTCTTTTATTTATATAATTAGTTACTGTCTTTTTAATAATGGTCATGCATTTCTGCCCTATGTTCACAAAAATATTGTAGTCATTTTAGTATTTTTAGATGTATTCTGTATTGCTTGTATGTGAAGTGCCTGTCTCCAAAGACAGATTTCACAAAGAGGTACAGTACTTCATAATGAACTTAGTATAGTTTTAGTGCTTTTGTCATCTCTACAATTATCAGATGATGTATTTGATAGACTATTCATGTGTTGTTTTGTTTGTATTTTTATTGCACTGTCTTTTCTTTACTCCTTAAAATATGTCATTACCTGTGCTGTTCATGACTACTCTAAGAGCTATCATCTGTGATGTTCATACTTTTATGTTTGCACGAATTAACTTGATCATGATTCATTTCTTTTTTCCCCATGAATTTTTCCCCTTACATTGGTCTCCATATTTTCTATATCTCTCCTTTTCTCCCGCTCTTGTGCAGATAGCTCCTCCAAGAAGACAAAGTCTAGTTCAGAGGAGAGTAGATCCGAGATCTATGGTAAGCTAATGTAGCTAATTCAGCCTTGCACCTTTGGAGCTTGCTTCATGCTGTTTCCCTTTGTTTTTGATAACTGCAGCCTTTCTTGTGTCTGCTCTGCATGGCATGATCACTGCAGGGAAAGGGAGCCTGGGGTTCTAATGTGGCTGTGACGTGACATGAAAGCTTAAGATTACTAGAAACTAACATTATAGGTTGAGAATAGGCCACATTACCCATCTGTTTCTCCACTGTGTAAGGAAAGTGGTTGCTTCTAACAAGGTGGGTTCAGGTTTCTCTGAGTAACATGGATGAACTTTGAATTCTTGGTATCTCTTAGGTTGTGTAGAATTTAAGCAACTCAGTCTTTTACTGCAAGAATAGTACTGACATTTAAATGTATAAGCAGTTCATTGGAAGTTTTTAGTTTTTATTTATATATTTTTAATTGGTTTGTCACCTGGAAAAGTCATTCTTGTAGAATATATCCATAATTACAGAATTTTGTATTTTATTTTCATGCTTGAAACATTATGACTTTTGGAAGTTTCCCTGAAGCCTACTCTGAATAAGAAAATCTCAAAATACATTTTAAAAATAATCTTCATAGCCGGGCGTGGTGGCACATGCCTTTAATCCCAGCGCTCAGGAGGCAGAGACAGGCAGATCTCTGTGAGTTCAAGGCCAGCCTGGTCTACATAGCATGTTCCAGGACAGCTGGGGCTGCAGGGAGACCCTGTCTCAAAAAAGACAACCCCCCCCCAAAAAAAAACTTCATAAAAGAGTAAATCACCTGGATTTGTAAACTTTTTCAACAAATGATGAAAATGCTAGTTTTTCCTGTATTCTGTTCTGTCTTCCAAAATACAACAAACCATATATATATATATATGTATGTATGTATATATGAAGTTCATTTAGATTTTTCTTCCTTTTTTAAAAAAAATTATTTTTATGTGAATGAGTGTTTTGCCTGCATGTATGTAAATGTACCTGTATTGTGCAATGCCCACAGAAGCAAGATGAGGCCACTGGATCCCCTGGAACTGGAATTATGGGTGGCTGTTAGCTGCCATGTGGGTGCTGGGAACTGAACCCAGGGCGTCTGTAAGAGCAGCCAAAGCTCTTAACCACTGAGCCATCTCTCCAGCCCCAAACAAACTTTTTAAAACAAGTTTGCTGTGTAGTCTCAGGCTGTCCTGGAACCCACTATATACATTAGTTAGCCTGGAACTTGAAATGATCCTCCAGCCTCTGCCTCCTGACTGTTGGGATTATGGACATGCACCAACAAACACAGCTACCTAATTTGGTTTTTTTAGAAAAATTAATAGGTGAGCACTACCTGGAATCAAGACTTTAAAACTAAGCAAACCAAGTCTTCTCTAGCTGAGCCAAATGTCTATTGAGTGGAAGTTTATTTAGATGTTTCCTGCTTTGCCCTATATGAGAGGGAAAAATATATATGGAATTGTCCCTAACTCCTTGGAAAATTTGACAATTGATATCTTCTGTCATCTGTTTTGTCTTAGTATTACTAAGTCTCAGTGTAATTAATACTATATGTTAGGTACCTGCTCATAGCTTTTTACTTGATTTTTTTTTCTGTGTAGTTCAAGTGTACTAGGCCTTATATCACATTGAGTTTATGCTTTTTTCTTCTCTCCAAAGTAGTTTGACTCAATATTCTGCATTTCTGCTATAAGTATAAAACTTCCTATAGTTTAGTCTCTCCTGAGGAATGTGAACACTTTATCCCTCTAGCCCCATTCTTTCTAGTAGTTTTTACAATGTCGTATTTAATATTCCTAACCATTTTCCTAGGTCTTCGGTATGTGTATAGAAACTTGTTTGCTTTGGATGATGACTAACACTTTAGGAATATAGGACAAAAATATTAATACTAATATTTTTCTTACCAGTGATAGGAATTTTTGTACTAGTCCAGACATGCCATTGGCTTGGTAGTAATAGAAGCATTTTAAGTGGTGCTTAGGAAGGAAGGTGTGTCTTCTTAGTTCAGTCAATCCTTAAGAACCCTTGAAATACCATCTTTTTTTGAAGGAACTGAACTGACTCCTCAAAAAATAAATAAATAAATAAATAAATAAATAAATAAATAAATAAATAAATAAATAAATAAATAAATAAATAAAAAACTCACTCACTAGAGGGATAAATTAAGACATCTAGCTTGTAAATGTTGATCTCTTTCATTGTAATGTAATATGTAGATGGGCTTCTTTAGACTATGCAATTGGGATAGTTGAAGAAGATACTCCAGAAGTCAAGGAACTATTGGAAATATGAGGCTATGACTGAGTAGATTCATAGCAAGTATGAACATTCTGTGGGGTGTAGGGTCTTATTACAAGTCCATTTCAACCTGTGAAAAATATGTATTATCTTCTCTTGAGATAAAATTCTTTAGCTGTGGGTGCCAAATACAGATGTCACTCCAATTATTTCAAACTTTCTTTGCCATTCTTACTACTTTGAGAGATAGATTTGCTTACTCATTTTAAAAGATAAACAAATGTTTGCTTTATATAGACTACTTTTGTAAAGCTTCCTCCCAGTATAGTCCAGTCAGTATTTATTCCATTTGTCTTTCTGTACTTTTTGGAGTCTATTGGACATTTATGGATGCATTTTTCTGAACTGCTGTTTTCTTTTTTTTTTTTATTGTTCTTAGCGTATTTTTTGGTACTATAAATGATTAAGCTCTTGTCCATATTTTTTTAATTGAAATTTTGCAATTTTCATACAATGTAATTTGATAGTATTTAGATTCCCTCCCTATCCACACCTCCCCTTATTGCCCCCATGCCCAATTTAAAGTACTCTATTTTATATATAATAAGGCTTATGGAATCTAATTTGTGTCTCCAGATGTCCTTCAGTATGGGTTCATCCACTGGAGCCTGGTTAACCTACGAAAAATCTCATGCTTGAAAGAGACTATCTCTGCCCCTCTCAGCAGCCATTTCATTAGGTGGTGTTGGAGCTTCTTATCCACTTCTTTGTTGTCTATGCTAGAATTTTGTCCGGTTTTAGCTTGCATGGGACTTGTGCATGCTGTCACTGTTGCTGTGAGTTCCCATGAGTAACTGATCAGGTGTCAGGAAAAACTTGTTTCCTTATGGTCATCTACTACCTCTGGCTTTTAGAATCTTTCTGCTCCCTTTTTCATAATGATCCCTGAGTCTTGGGAGACAGAAGTTTGATATGGGTGTCTTATTTAGGGATAAGCACTCTGCAGCCACTTGTTCTCTGGACGTTGGCCAGTTGCGGGTTTCTGAGTTAATCACCATCTGTTTCATAAGGAAACTTCTCTGGTGAGAATTGAGAGATGCATTAATCTGTAGGTATACTAGTAAGTCATTAAGAGTCAGTTTAACATGGTAACTATTTAGTAGAAAACTAGTATTAGGTTCTGTGTCCTGTGACCTGTTTAGCCTCAGATTCTTAAGCCTGATATAAGTGTCAGGTATGGGCTCCATCCTAGGAAGCAAACCCTAAATCCAGTTAGAGAGTGGTTGGTTACTCACATAGTGTTTCTGCCACTATTGCACTGGTGGGCATATCTTGCCAGGCCAGTTGCTACTGTGGTTCATAGGATTCACAGCTGGGTAAGATTGATGATTATTTTTTCCTTCCAGTAGCATGCAGAGTACATTCCAGCACTACAAACTGCAATATTTTTTTTTAGTGATGCTTAATTTTCCTTCTTTTTTTTTTTTTTTTTTTTTTTTTTTTTTGGTCTTTCTGAGACAGGGTCTTCTTGTAGCCCCAGCTGTCCTGGAACTCACTGTGTAGACCAGGCTGGCCTCGAACTCACAAAGATCTGCCTGCCTCTGCCTCCCAAGTGCTGGGATTAAAGGCGTATGCCACCATACCCGGCTTCCTTCTTTTTTTTTTAAACATGTGCATATAGCTTTTGTTTTATGTTGTTGTTGTTCTATTTGGGGTTTTTGTGTTTGTTTATTTTGAGACAAGAGCTCGTATATAATGTTGTCTGGCCTTGAATTCCTGATCTTCTTGCCCCTACCTCCTAGTGCTGGGATTATAGGTATATACATACCATCATGCTTGGATTTTGTTGTTGTAAAACAGAGTCTTGCTATAGAGCTCTGGCTTACCTTGAATTCTGTGTAGCCAAAGTTGTTCCTAAACTCCAGATAATCCTCCTGTCTCAGCCTCCCATGTACTAGAATATAGGCATTATTTACTAATACTGTGAAGAACTTTTTCTTTTTTTAAAAAAATATTTTATTATTTTTATTTTATGTGTATGAGTATTGCCTGCATGTGTGTAAGTACACCCATGTTGTACAATGCCTGTGGAGTCAGAAGGCGGTAGCGGATTCCTCTGGAACTGGAGTTATGGATAGTTGTTAGCTGCCATGTGAGTGCTGAGATTGAACGCAGGTCTTCTGCAAGAGCAGCCAGTCCTCTTAACCACTTAGCCATCTTTCCAGCCTACTGCTGTGAAAAACTTTTCTGGTTACTGTGGGATATGGAGATTCAGTAAAGGAAGCTTAAACTACTTTTTTTCTTCTTTTTTTTTTTTTTTTTCCCCTAACTTGTATCTTGATGTTATGAAGAGATTTCCACTGAGAGTATTTTGTGAAAGAATAAACCAGCACTTGGGAGGCAGAGTCAGGCAGATCTCTGTGAGTTCAAGGCCAGTCTGGTCTACATAGCGAGTTCCAGGACAGCTGGGGCTACAGGGAGACCCTGTCTCAAAAAAACCAAAAAAAAAAAAAAAAAGCCATCTTAGCATGCTTGTGCTCCCATAACAAAAACTACAGTCCGTGTGGCTTAAACAATAGAAATTTTATTTTCTAACAGTTCTAGAAGCTGGAAGTCTGAAATATGGAAGTCTGAAATATGAATGCTACTGTAATTTGGCTGATAAGGTTGCAGATGATTGTGTTCTCGCTGTCCCCTCGCATGGACTTTCTAGATTCTGGTGTCTGTTCTAGTCCGGTCATGAGGGGCTCACCTTCATGATGTCC